ATACAGCCACTATACTGCGGGCTGTCTCTAAATTGTGTGATCTACCCCCCTTCAGCCCTACGTCTGCTATATGCTGGGATGACAAAACAGTCTTCCGGGAATTTCATTGTCGATTGATGGAAACCTAGTGATGCTTTTGTGAATTGAACGGGGTGCGGAAGACCAATTCAAAGGATTGGGGTGACAGCGACGAAGTCGCTCATGTGGCCCTTAAAAGCATGCCAAAGTGAGAAAGTATCAGCAAAACATTCGCCGTGCTCGTCGAAGATTCCGTGACAGTAGGTGGAAAAGGAATAACTCGTCGTTCACTCAATTGTCTTAGGACGTGCCCCTTCTCACTATGCTATTCCAAAGAGTGTCGGGAATTTAATAATAAAGTTCCTTCTTAGCCAGTTTTCAATCTACTTACGTTCTCTAAAACATTCCACTTCCGCGTTAGACAGGTTTACGACTTATAGATGTCAATTTATGCATAAAATCTTTCCGTTCTGAGATTTTTGTCCGGAATGGCAGATTTCCGTTTTAAATGTATATATTTACAATGACGTACAGTAAAATTTGTCTCAACTGGAAGCTGTACAAGCCGGAAACCTGCCGTAACCGGAAAATTTAACCAGAACGTGAAGTGAAATGGCATTTTCACAGCATAAAATGGCATCCATCCAATGCCGGGAATCGAACCTGGGCCTCTTTGATGAAAGGCAAGCGACTTTCGTTCTGAGCGATGAGGTGGCAAAAATATTGTAAAGTGCATCTTAAAATATGTAATTTTTCATTATCCCTATGTTCTATATGTTTTTTCCGTCCATTTGTGCCAAGGGTTTTTTTTTGTTTAAATTTTTTTGCAGTTTCCGGGTGCTTCATACGAAAAAAGATATTCAATGTAATTGTATCCGCTCGTTTACGGCCAAAAACGATGAGCAAGAAAATCAGGATAGAAAAATATACTATATACAAAATAGGTTAACTTTTACTTAAAGTGTGAAGAGGTACCTTTGTTATTGAGTATCCATTATTTCTGACACTTTTTCTACTTATGCCAAATAATGTTTTAAATCTAAATGTGACCTAATAAGATTGGTACTTCATACACGACAGTGCATAAAATTTTAGTTTATGTGATAGATGTGTTCGGCCAATTCTCAAAAGACATACAGGCAGCGAGAATACAGTACCGTACATTACGTGCAGAGAATAATACTCGAGTGTCTTCGATAGTAAATCCAATAGAAACAATTTCTGTGAGTGATCTTGATAGCCATTTTCAAATTGAAATGCCATTGGGAAATTGAACCAAATTGAAATGCTAGTGAATTCGAATAGTTGGCGTTTAGTAGTCTCACGTTTGAATTCGTTGTTGTTAGGATCCGTAAAACGTGTCCCACAAGGCTGAGTAGATTCATTATAAACTCAGCTTTGAAAGTCCTTCACAAACTGACACCCAACGTTTGTAAGCTCTACTATCGCTTTTGTAGCTGGTTACGATTTACCAGTTTCGGCCGACTGTAAGCGCTGTAAGGCTAGTAATATCTAAAATGCGAAAACAATCGTGTGTGGCTTATTCACATATTTTTATGCCAAATAATAATCATTATTTAACACTTTTTTTTGTTCAGCTACGGATCCAAAATTGGCCTCTGTGCGTCGGATTGCTGGAATTTCATCTGTCAATCTCCTCCAGCTAGGCACTACCCCAACTAGGAAAATTCAAGCTCCCGAGTGGTCTTCTGATAAATGTGTGTATGGAAGGAAACTGATGAGGAAGGAAATATCGCGCGCGCTCCATAGCTGTTAAGGTAGTGCCCTGGTATTGAACGGAGAAACCACACACGTACATACAAACACACACACACACACACACACAAGAAAGGGAAAAAACAGGCAGAGAGCATATGTCCGCTAGAATTCTCCACACAGCGGCTAAATTCGACCCAGCTAAGTGTCGAAAAATGCAACTGTCAGGATGGTCCTTTTCGGTCAAAGGACTTTCCGGTCAGGTGCACAGTAGGGGTAGTGGTTGCCCCGAGGGATCTCAGTCGGTTGAAAGTAGTTATGGTAGCGTCGATTCCTGTATATTTCTGGTGTCCTTATTATACACACACATATGGTGTTCCTGGTAGTTACTTTCGTTTCTAATATTCTTTAGATTATGGGTCTTGTTGAAATGAAATAAGACGTCAGTCTTCAGGAGCTTCCACGATTGTATCGCGGCGTTTCTTTTGTCCAAGTGAATACCTTTCAATTGAGGTCTGAGAGACGTTTTGGTTTTGGCATGTGTAGGTATAAGAATATGTATGCAGATGCATAAAAATATTTGGCGTTGCAGGACTATGTAAATTCTAAAGTTCATTGTTGTAATGTTGATGCATTGGATACAAAATTGCGATAGATGGTAGAATAGTTGGTCAGATGATCCAAGGTATATTTTAGAATTGGAATTTTTTTCCGTGGGATAAAGTTGGATTATTAGCTTTGATTAAAGGACTTTCAGTAGGGTTGGCATTTCATAGACATTCAAAGTGCTTTATTATAGGTAACCCCAAAGTTGTGAGTTCTTTTCTTTTTGTAGGGCCATTTATTATTGTTCCATATTAAATCTTGGAACGAATTATAGCTTTCTCTGCACCACAATTTTTGTGTGATGTACTTCTTTTGCAAATATCTGTTAAAATATATTTTCCAAGACATTTTATAGCCAAAATATCCTTATTCGAGTAACCTCAGTCCGTCAATTCGACGCGTCTCGGTCTCCTGGTGGGGATCTGGTAACTGACCGACAAAATTAACCTTTTTGTCTGTTAAATGGAATATGATGGCTGTTTCTTGTGGAAAATGGTGTTCTAATTATTCTAATGAGCAATTAAAAAGTACACATTGTTGTTAAGTTGTTGGTTTCCTTGACTTGACTTACATACAATAATCTCAATCAAAATGTAATTTTGAACGATTGTTTACTGTGTTTCGTTTTAGTATATCCTTTTTTAATCTCCAGTATTAGTTACATTTTGATTCCATGCTTCCTTCTAAGATTTTTCCATAGTTACAATGTCTTGGAGGAATTACTAACCATGATTGTCACTCACAGAATCGAGAATTTGAATACAGCAAATTTATATGAACTTGTTACATCCCAGAGATTTATAATTGTGAAGAAGTTCCATAATATTTCTTCATAGGTATCAGCTTTTCTGTTACCGAAGAATTTCTTTACGACCTTCTGAAGCGACATCCATGCAGACCTTTCAACACTATTTAAAGTTGCATCTAAGTTATCCTCGCTCATAAGCTCTTTCATTTGTGATCCCACAAAAACACCCTTCTTTATTTTCGCCTCACTGATCCTCGGGAATTTGTTCGCGAAGAACGGGAAACCTGGCCTACTTTTATTCATCATCTTCACAATTTTTTTTTATCAATCCGACTTTAGTGTGCAAGAGCAGAAGATATGTGCGTACAGCAATACAAGCTGTTGCATTGTTACATTTTTTCGGCATTTAGATGTCGTTGACACCTGTGCTTCTGCATAGACAAGAATGGCTTGTTTCTCATGTCCGATATGAACGAGCCCGACTTTTAAACCGAGTTTAGAGAAATCTTTAAACAACCTTCATTTCTTAAGATCAGTGGTCTCACAAGATTCTCAGTAATGCGTCATGATCAGTACAATACATTAAATTGCCTTGTTCTGAGACCAGACTTCGAATATTTTTCTACCGTCGACAATACACAGTAAATGTAGTTCCCTTCTGAAGGAGCTTCCAACCCTTTAATCGAGACGCCAACAGTTCTGCCTGATTCTTCGACAAGTTGAAATCACGAACTAGACCTTTGTCTTCTGATTGATTGATTCCATGAAATTCTGTAGATATTCCTCCTAAATCTGGGTCTTCAATGTCGTCCTTTTTGATACTTACATTTCATTTGTCAACGCCAGAGTTTTCGGTATGCAAACGCCAATTGTCCGGTGACGCTGGGATTGGAAGGTCGTCGCTGGGAGGAACAGGCCTCACAGTTGAAGGGACGTTGCGATATTGAGTGTTCTTCTTGGACTTGTTTGTGATTCCAGTAACTTTCATATTCCAGAAATAACGTCCTGTGGGGTGGTCCTTTAATTCCCTCCATGCCACGGGAATTGCAAAAAGCATGCGTCGCGAATTTCCTTTAAGCAACCACTAAGTAATGTTACAATAAGACGTATAACACATGTGAGGGGTCCGTGATTCGTCCTAATCCCCGATTTGTCACCTGACATACAATTTTTATGCCGTTTCTGTTATTCAGATTTCTCTGTTGTTTACATCAGACAATGAGCCATTAGCTTTTGTGTGGACATTTCTGTATTTTGTTGAAGAAGTTAAAGACTAACTTATATTGCCCATAATGCAGTTTTGGCAATAAATCCGTGCAGTGTAACATGGATCCAAGCAATGTCTTAAGCCTTTTCAATACGGTAGATTGGTAAGACTTTTTTGCTAAGGGAGGCCTCGTGAATTATGGTGTCAATACTTACTAGGTGTGATATAGCTAAATGGCGTGATCTGAATTCAAACTGATAATTGGAAATGATCTATTTAATGTAAGAAACCATTTGAATCTTGTATTAATAATCTTCTGAAGGTCTTGCCCATATTGCACGATACGGAGGTTAGTGTTTAAGTACAAGTTTTTGGTTGTCTTGCTGGTTCAGGTATAGGGACAAGTATAACGGTATTCCGTAATTTGGGGAATACATGTTTTGCCTACATTATGAGTAGATTTGTTTGTAGAGTTTCCATTCCGTTGATGAACACAATGTAAAAACAAGGAAAATTTAAATGAATCTCGAACTATTTAAAAGTTGTTAACTGTAACGTGTGGATAATAAGTTACATGAGAGAAAACCTATTTGATAGACATTGGCTTACATGGTAATGCAAACAATAAATATAGATGGAACAGACAACATAGAAATAAATGTCATAGATCAGAATGTTTGTATACATGGCAAACTGTTATAAAAGGAAGAGGAAGTTAGAAAATGTTGCTCCAGTAGTGAAGTAGATGGCCTTGCCATAGAACCTGGAAGCACTGAAGGTAAAAAAACAAACAGGAAAGCGCCGAGACTTAACCATATTAATGCCGAGTGGATGCAATACACAGGAATAAACTTTCATCGAATAAAAATTTCTGATGAACATGTAAGATTTTGGGAAGGCAGAACTTGTGTCGATGCCATCTTTACATTAAAAATAGTTATTAAGGATAGAAGAGAATTTAATTGGGAACCTACCTAGCCTAAATAGATTTTGAAAGAAATGAACAATGTAAAGAGGAAATATTATTGGAAAATTCTTGAAAGGAAAGGATTCAATTCATCTGGATGAAGAAATAAAACTTGAACGAGGATACGATATAAATAATAGTGCTAGAGAGAAGAATATCAGAAAAGATCCCGACTAATAAAAGAGTAGGCAGAGTTGCAGTATCCCTCTAACCCTGTTACTTCCTTTCTTACTTAGGAAAGAAATATAATTGAATCGATTAGAACAAAAAGAGAAAATATCACAAAATGAAGAATTTGAGAAAAAATAATATAGCCATATTGTAGCCACTAGTACCTTCACAGTAGGATTTATACCAGTGTGCCTTGAATTTTTTTCACTCATATTCTTAACCAGTCTTATTTTCCAGAAGCCTGGATACAATTTTACTCATACTGTATTTTTGCGCTGAACATAAATTTTTGTACCATATTAAGATTTTTTGAATTTGTGAGGGTTGCTGGGATAGTAATCGGTATCATTAAAACAGTTTATTTTTACATTTCACTTCTAGAAATAGCAGAATCGGCAATGTTATAAAAATTAAAAATACAAGAAAACCCGAAAGTTACAAACAAGATTTTAGGCTACTGCCCAACAGTTAATGGAGGAATATAATGTTCTTCCTATATTGTTTATATGAAATGATTGAGAATAAAATATATTTTTCAAAAACTAAGCAGCTAACTAAGCAATAAATACAAGAAACTAATGTTCATCACTTTCATCGCAACTATTTTCATTACGAACTTGATTTGCTTCATTAATTGTTGTTGCCCCCTATGAAGAATACATGCAAGGTTTATAGTCTTTTAAGAGTCTTTAAATTTACCAACTTCTTATGGCTGATCGGTGTCCATCTTGCCGGATAGACTTAATCTTGTGCCAGAGGGGGAAAATACAGTGTTGCAAGTGTGAATGTTAGAAGTGAAAATCCTGAACGGCTGTACTGACTCCATGTTTTCCGTTTTACTTTCTCGTGAAGTCCTTACGTAGTATAGGGAAAGTATTTTAATGCTGAGGCACTGAAAGAATGGATAATTCTTCTGTACTTGTAATAAGTGACTTTCTCTTCTACATTGTTCAGTCAGAAGCCGTGTGTTGTGGGTCCTTGATACCGATAAAGTTTTGTTTTTTTGGCAATCCGACGTTCTTCATAGAACGCTTTTAAATGCAGCAGAACCGAGTTTTGTTCATTTCATTCATTGCAGGAAAGGGACATGTGCTACACAAGTATCCTTTTTGCACAAACACTAAATTGGGGTCTTTTCGTTATACCAGCTCTCTAGCCGAAAGTTTACGGTACCCGATCCTTTGACACGAAAAATTTGGTTCTCCGGAAGTGAGTCGGTTGTCAACAATGTGAACAAATTAACATGAGATACAAGTCGTTCAACATTGCGCGGTACATTTAAACATTCATTTTACACAAACATTAATTTAAAAGTACTCTATTGGGGGCTACTGCCCCCAAACATCTGCTAACCCACGACTCTATATTTAGTTATATTATAGAGGAAATTAAAATATATAAACATTTCCTTTTTGGCCTCATTTAGCAGAAGGAAACTTGTTAACGATTGTAGAGTCGAATATAATCGGCACACTGTTCCTTTACCACCGTGAAGCGCTAAAGTCGCTGATCATTTAGGGTATTTAACACGTAGATGTGATACCTTATCACGTGTTCACTGTAGTAGTAATATTCTGTATTTCTATTGGCAGTAAAACATAAGTTTAAAGAGCCGAAACACGCATTGATAAAATAAAATTTGAAAGAACATGACAATTGTGAAAATAAAGAAATCAATAAATTACGTAATTGTACACTTAGTCAATAAAGAGGTACCCTATACTGTCAGATGAAAATAAAACCATTACTACGTTTTGGGGAAGAACTTTCTATAGTTCATTCAAGTGATGAGGAGAAAGGCTACCAATTACATCCACTACTTGACCACCTTGGCGTGAAAAATATGTTTGATCAAAAAACATAGGTATATTCATGTTACGTTCACTATGGCCTCCTCGGTATGTGTACACCAAAGACATTGTAATAGATGTACACTGTGGTTCTACCGCACCGTTGCTGGTATCTGACGGAATATATTAGGAACCTGTCTATCAGGAACAGGCGAAAAATAATAATCGTGGTGCATCTACCAGCATATTATTTAAATAATTTATTTTCCGCTTTTGTGTTGTATTAATCTTTTCCAAACTTTGCAAGAACACTGTGTCAAATCCTGAAGAAGAGCTTGTAAATATTTTGAATCTATTCATACACTCATTTTTTTGTGGAATCGATGTCTATTACATGTTGTTGATTTCACTTTAATTTGTATAGATTCCTTGTTTCTCGAAGAAATTAACAATTCTTCCTTGGTTTTGTGATTTTCTGCAAGTCTGAGAAAATTCATTCTGACACGCTCAATAACACATTACAACTGGTTTTTTCATTCTTTCATAAAAAAATCAAAATAATTAACTAAATCTTGAGAGATGATATTGATTAATATCTTGCCGCATTTTTCGGAAACATAGCAATAAACTGGTAACGTCCTGTCTCGTAGCGTTGGCTCCATTGTAGCCAAAATCTTGTGCTCGTCTCCATCTTATTCACGCCACTACAGGTTCATCCGCGAGTGTGTTTTTAAGGTTACGTAAGTAACCTTAAAGTAAGCTACTTTCTTCATTTTAATCAATTTCAGAATCTTTGACGATTGATGAATTATTTACATCGCAGTGTTGAATAGTTTTATTGTGTTTACAAGTAATTTTTCAAATGTGCAACACAAGGAGAAATAAATTGAAATTTCAATTCCCAGTTAGTTATTACCTTTTCGTGCTTAGCTCTCATGACGTTAGTAATTTAGTTATTTAATTTCACTGTTGTTTGTCGGCTATTAGTTTTGTTAAGATTGATTAAACTACTTATTAAAATCGGTTGGAAAAAGAAGTAAGCTTGTTACAATATCCCTATAGTGTGTTTTGTAATTCATCTAAGCTCTAATGAATTTTTTTTCGTTCTGACTTTTCATTAATTTCCACTCTGAAATTTCATAAAAGCATGGTTTAAAACTTTTAGAAAACAGAATCTATTTGCCCACAAAAGTTTTGTCCATAAGATATGGATTTAACAGTCCAGAAAAGAAAACTTAGAGGAGCTGTCCCAACATTCTTCCAGTTCATATAACACTTTAGCAGTGACATTGGAAGACATCACAAAAACCATCAACTAGAAAGGCTATTAAAGACAACGTTTGACATGCTGATCTGCAATTTAGTGAGGGCAATAATATTAATTAGGTTTTAGTGCTCTTCGTAGTGTGGCTTTAGGAAGGCTAATTCAATTAAACGCTCCCTTTCAACTATAATTTTAACTTTTAGTATTGTAAAGAAACAGGACAAAGTAACCATGTGGTGTTTATTGCAATGCTATATACTCTTTTCAAATTTAATATATCTGTAAAGAAATATTATAATTAACTTTGACTTCAACTGACTTCCATCTCATTAGGTTTTCATCGTTTCCGCTGACCCTTAGAGCAACTGCCGAGATGATCCCTTGCCTTTACTTCTGAATGTTTAAATGTAGCTCTTATCTTCATCGTGAATGTCAGACACTGACCGAGACTAGTCTTGGTTTTGAGGTTAAATAAAAAATTTAAAAAGTTTTAAAACTTTCATATCAATTTTTTATATACTTAATATTATTTCCATTTAATATTACAGTTTTTCGCATTGGCGATGTATTGTAAAAATAGGCTTATAGACTTTCTTGAGGACCATTGACTTATTGCACTGCCTATAGCAGTGCAATAAGAGTCGTTTATTGCCAATCTAGTATTATATGTCTGTGCATTTCCCTCACCCCCAAAAAACTTTTTGTAATAATGAAAGGAATCGAACCTTTCGATTAGTGAACGTATAACGGCAAATCCCTGAAGTGTGATAATTAAATCCATCGATTTAGAAACAGTGTACATATGACCTTACCATGCCATATACTCATGGATGAGAACATATTTTCAGCCAATGCTAATGTCTATAATGATAATCTGGATCACACTTTAGAAATCATGTTCAGCAGATGTCAATATCAACACCCCACTACAAAAATCACTTACAGTACATGTACATAATTTTAAAACACATTTAACATGACATTAAACAATTAAAATCTATACACAGTTAACTGACATTGTAAATATTTTTGCTGCATAGTTGTTTCTATTTAGAAACTATATTGACCATCAAAAAGAAAAATAATATAGGTTTAACAATGATATTTGATGTTTTATCTATAGAAAGCAAGAAAATCCACGTATAATAAGCTCAAAGCTAAAACGTTGTTGAGAAGTTAGCTCGTGTTACGAGGAACAAGGGTACGCAAATATGGCGGCCTGCAGGTGTCGGCGTTGCGCAGCGCAATTTTTTAAATACGTTGAAATAAACTATGCTCTTGTGGAATGAGTCCACGGTTAATTATTCTTTGGTATTGTTTATTAGATAGCCAAAGTGTGAAGGAGTTGTATGCCTCATCGAAGAGGCGTTTCGGACTGACCGCCATTCTGAATTCAACGTGTCATTTTTTATGCCTACTTAGATTACGATATCAAAGCTAATTTTTTTGTCCAATGATAGAAAAAACATTTTCCTCGCTGATTATCATAATGCTATGCCGTTTAGGCATCGCTGAGTACCTGTCATACTGATTCAAAGATGTCAAATTTTTCACTAATCCATACTCATCCGAGAAAAAATATTTTTCAATTGATTTTAATGTCTACAAGACAAATCTGTAAGTGCCATATCGATTGGATGTCTCGAACGTAAGAAATTAGCCTCTAAAGTTGTAAAATTGTTGAGTAGTG